CACAACAAATAATTGTAAATAAAACACGAAAATAAATGAAAAATAAATTTTAAAATTATGTATAACAATTTTCATCCTAAACTTACGAATAATGGTTACTTAGATAACGGTTTTCTATCAAAAATTAAAAATATGTTTCTGTGATCAATAGTCCAAGTCAAGACAAATAAACATTTTCAAAATCTAATTCAAAATCAAGTGCTGTACGAAAAATGATGAGAGTGCATGGTATCTTCAAAGTTCAAGTTTAATCTATTTTTTGTAGCTATTTTATTTTATAACCGTGGTTGAATAATCGACGAAATTTGATTACCAATGCTTAACTCCGTAGCCTTGTAATCTCGATGATAATCCAGAAGACTAGGGAACTTTTGGATCAAGACTTAGGAGAAATTTGCCTTTGTGAAGAACGTTTTGATGATACGAACTAGAATTTGCGTTACAGGGAGAGGAGAACTACGAGAACCTCCCACAGTTAGCTGACTAAAGGGGACTCTAACACATTATATATCCTGGATCAAGCATTGAGAGAAAGTTGCCTTCGTGGAGGACTTTTTGAAACACCTCTTAGTCCGATTAGTAGTCCATACGTAGTGACATCATTCGTATTTTCTCTCCACTACGCAGTTTATGTTTGTTACACCGGACTACTAAATTAATTCGTGCAGAAGCCTTCCTTTTTACTAGGAGGTTTTGAACTTACCCGCATTTGCGTTACAAAGAGAGGAAAACGATGAAAACCAACCACGATTAGCCTGATATCAAAAAGACTAACCCATGATCCGCCTACCATTGAGAATATGTTTATGTAAGCACTGTGGTCGGTGCGATCTGGGTGCGAAATACGTATCGACCAGTCATTCACTGGGATTCGAACCAGTGGTGTTGCATCAAGATGCGAAAACTATCCCGTGAGCCACGGCGGGCGACTCTTTGTAATCATTTGAAAATCTTAACTTATTATGTGTTAGTGCAGGTTTCAACTTATGGTGTTAGTGAGTATCTTTGATACAAATGCTTGAAAACGAGCGCTAGATCTGAAAAAAAAATAGACGCATTAATAAAAGTTTTTTTCGTTAATGTTGTTCGTGTTATACTATAGAAGACAGTTTTGTGCATTTATTTATGATAGATTTTTTAATCTTAACGGGGTTTTTTAGAATTTAAATTACGAACAAAGTATCATTTTTCAAAATTATGAAAAGACTATAAATTTTATTTATAGGTTGTTGACCGTTCCCAATTGATTTCAGAAAAAAATACAGAGCATGCTCATTTTTTGCTGTTTAGCTTATTTAATGCTCCTCAATCATTTAATAGAGAATAATATTTGTGAAAGCTTTATTTAGAAAACTATTTGCTACAATAAATTATCATTGTAATTTTTTTTTCGTGGCTACAGGGCTTCAATAACAGATTTTTACAGCTACAATTTGAACTTGGAATTTATAAAATAATAACTATAATAACATGTGAAAGAAATTTAAACCAGCAGACACTATGAATAATTACACAGCTTTCTTTATTCCGTACATTTAATAAATTGCACAAAAACTGGCTATCAATAAAGACATTCAGCAAAATTTGCAACCTTTTGATATCGAACCAATACAAATTTTCACCAAACTAACATGATTTATTGGTTTTATTATTTGATTGTTATTTGTTTTATTACTTGATTTTGTTATTTGAATTACACTATATTGTACTGTACGCAAAATAAAAAAAATGGACCTCCCAGAATAACTTTTAATCTAATGATGGGATCATTGCGTTCTAGGACTCAATCTTTATGGGTTGAGGGGAAAACCTCAAATATGCTAATTAATTAGTACAGACGATATTTTAAGCTACGAAATCAGAAAAATCTTACTTTCTCTGAATAAACGTACCTTTGTTCCGACGGATTCGGATTTCTGACCCCCAAAGCCGCATTCTAGGAAATACGGCAGTAATAGTTTATAAGAAAAGAGGTCCAAAGTTATGCTGCCCTAATGTTAAATTTTACTTTTTGCGTATTTCTATTCTTTACTTTTTGCGTATTTCTGCCCTAATGTTAAATTTTACTATTTTGCGTTTATCTGAAGATAATTTTATACAGAACTTAATTTTCGTAAATATTTATTATTTTATTTAATTAATTGTCGAAAAGTGTGAATTGCAAAGTATGCAATTTTTTACATCATTTTAAAGAATCCAATTTTAAATGGAAAAGCTAACACTATCAGATAAATCGGTCAAATAGTTACTAATAAATAAAATTTTAAAAATTCGACTATTTCTAAGTAAAACTTGTCATGAACTATTCGACCGATTTCACACAAATTTATAAAGTAAATACAATAAAATATTTTCGACTGTATAAAATAGATTTTTTTTATTAAAAGTTATATATTGCATTGAATTAACTTTGAATAAACGAATGTGATATTTGCACACGCAAATTTTTAGATTCGCTTAAAAAGTTCTCTAGATATGCTGTTATTACCATTTAGGGGTCCAAACTTTGCACCGCTCTCCTGGCCAAACTATTAGAACCATATTTCCCAGAATGTGGTTATCCCTTATATTTTGAGTATCAAAAAGCCAAATCCGTCCGAAAAAAAAGTATGTTTTTTCATAGANAAAAAAAAAAAAAAAAAAAAAAAAAAAAAAAAAAAAAAAAAAAAAAAAAAAAAAAAAAAAAAAACAATATTGCACTTCCTTAACCCTTTATATCACCTTGTTGCATATCAGCAACATACACAAAAAGCCTATGTCTTTGCCCCAACAAATTTTAAAGGACGATTTCGGCGATTATCGGCCAAAACTAGTGCTCCAAGATGAAATTGGGCACTGGCTTAATTGGGCTAACAAAAGAATCAGATGCAAATACCCAAAATGCAAAGGATTTACACAACACTATTTATGAGAAATGCGGTGTAGGACTTTGTTACAACAAAAGTAACAACTGTTTTAAAAATTTTGATATGAATTAAAATTTTTGAATCTTTCAATCTTAGTGCCATTTTTCACAATGTTGCAGGAATGCAACAAGCATTTGTTTGTCATTTTGCATAATGTTGCAGAAATGCAACAATCAATTTTATTCCGATAATTTTTCTTATTTTATGTTGTAAAATTTTTTTATTATTTTTTACATGCTTAGAATGATGTATTCTAATGTATGAGTAATTTTTATTAAAATCAGAGATGTTGAGATATAAAGTGTTAAAATAGATTAAGAAAGTTAAATAATAATCAAAGTTTCTATTTCTTGACCTCTTCAAGCAATCTTTATCGCTTATCAAAATTTCGGTCAGTTCCAGACACTAAACTAAAATAAAAACAGAGTAAAAAAAAATAAATAGAAAAAAAAAACAGTTTTTCAAGTGGACTATAAAGAAGTTATTTCGATTTTGTCTTGCTTAAAACAAAAAATATAAGGAAATTTATGTGATGGGAGAAATCTATTGGAAGGCAAAAACAGCTGAAGATCCCTTCTCTTTCAATCACATTTCTACCTCGATCACGTTTTTTTTTTAAATATTATTTTTAAGAAAACTTTTAAATTTGTTATACTTAAAAAAAAATAAAGCATATTTCAATTATGTTATATTAAAAAAAAGGAAAGAAAGAAAATCGTGATTAAACGTAATAAAAAAAAACATGATTGATATTGAAAGATAATCGTGTTTCTTTATTACCGTGGTTGAACAGCAGACTCAATTTTCGGGTTTACAACTTTTACATTCAACTCCGAAGCCTTGAACCCAATCCAGAAGACAAAGGAACTCTTGGATCAAGTATTGGGAGTAATTCACCTTCGTGAAGGACCTTTTGATGGAACTAACCCGCATTTGCGTTACATGGAGAGGAAGAAAACGAAAACTTCCCACGGGTAGCAAGGGACTCTAACCCATGATCCGTTTACCACTGAGGATATTTCACGTCAGCATTGCGGTTGGTGCATGTCGGATGCGGATTTATATCGACCAACCATCGCTGGGATTCGAACACGGTACACTCATTGGAAGGCGAACGCTATCCCCTGAGCCATCACGTGATTTTTTAAAAAAAAATGGAATTTTGAGCAGAATTGTACTTGCTCATCACTAAGTCCCTTTTTATATATTTCGTTTCAGGCGTGACAAAATCGAAATATCTTCTACATGGTTCACTTAAAAAACCTGTTTTTTTTTATATGTCTTATTTCATCTTTTATTTTCGTTATTCTATTTTTATTTTATTTTAGTTTTGTGTCTGAAAGTGATCGAAACAGATAACGGACCATCCTGAATAACTAAAGATCAGCTCTTTACATTCTAGTATTAAATCCTAGGTTCGAAGGGGAGACTTTAAATATGCTAGCTAATTATTGAAAACGATATTTCAAACTACAAAATCAGGCACTAAAACGGAGTTTCGCTGAAAAAAGCACACCTTTTCGACGGATTCAGATTTGACTCCCAAAATATAGCGGATAACCACATTCTGGGAAATATGGTCCCAATAATTTCGCCAGAAGAGAGCGATTCAAAGTTTGGTTTTACTTTTCTCTACAAAGTTTGTTGATTTTACTTTTTGCTTATTTCAGCATATCTCGAGATTTTTAAGCGAATCGAAAAATTTACGCACATAACTATCGAATTCTTTTATACAATCTTAATTCAATGCAAAATGTAACTGTTACTAAATATTTATAATTTTATTTAATAATAGTCAAAAAATTAAATTTCGAAGTATTTATTTCAAAAAATTTGAGCGAAATCTGTCGAATGATAAATTGAACTTTGAAATAGTCTGAAAAAATTTCTAATAACTCTGTGTTTAGTTAAATGTGATATATAACAGTTTGTTTATGTGGAAAATATGACAAAATTTCGCTTTGTGATAAATCCTGCATGTAACTATCAAAACTTAATTTGAAATATGAGCACTGCAGCTAGTCGATTTCTAGGTTCATTCCGTACAAACAAACAGGAAAGGGAATTTATTAAAATATGGTAAAAATTACTTACTATGTATTGCCCATCTTTTCGTTTTTCTTAAACCAAACATAATTTTAACTAAAGATTCTGTGCAGTCCGACGACAGATGCAGTTCTTCTAACATTCGGTTTATTTCCATTAACGTGGACATAGAAAGTGTCTCATCAAGCGCTTTTTGGAACATTTCCTGTATGACAGGCCATTTTAATGTGCTATTACTATTATTCCCACGGGAATGTATCAAACTATTAAATGGTGTATTACTAGCAGCTTTGGTATATCCCAAAAACAATAATAAAGCAATTGAAATCTTATTAATCATTTTCATATTTGAAATCATTTACAAAATCTATTCTGTTAAATGCAGAAAGCAAAATAGATCATAGCTACGAAATTAAACTCGATGCACACGCACACTTTTAGTGAAAACAACTGAAAAGTTGCCATTTGTTATCAGGTAACTTAGGCGTGTTTCCAGCTGCCTACATCTGTATAACGACTCCCTCAACATAGCTGAACATGGGACCCCCTAGCCGAGCGGTATCGACCACTAAATGCTGTGCAAAGCGTGGAGGTAGTTGGTTCGAATTCCGCTGTTACCTTAGATTTTTCTTCGTGCAGTCTTTCTTTGAATTGTGCTATCCGTCCTTCTATTTGACAAAAGTTTATAAGCCTAAATTGATCACATAAGCCTGCGTAATTCCACGTAATTCCAATAAATAAATAAATCTAAATAAGTTAATAAATAAAATCTAAAAGCTTGGAGGTTACTGGTTCGAATCCCACCATTACCCTGGATGATGTCCTTCTCTGAATTGTTCTATCTGTCCTTCTATTTGACAAAAGTTTATAAGCCTAAATGGATCACACAAGCCTGCAAATGTATGTAATTCCAATGAATAAATAAATCTAAATAAGCTAAAAAATAAAATCTAAAACCGTGGAGGTTACGGGTTTGAATCCCACCATTACCCTGGATGATGTCCTTGACTTCGGGATGTCTTTCTCTGAATTATTCTATCTGTCCTCCTACTTGGCAAAAGTTTATAAGCCTAAATTAAGCACATAACCCTGCAAATGTATGTAATTTCAATGAAGCAATAAAACAATAAAATCTAAAGCTTTCACTAAATAAATAAGGGTAAAACAGAGTAGTGGTTACTCTGACCGAGTTTTCCTGCCATTCCTCCAAACGCTCTGAAACATAGAGATAACGGGTTGGAATGCCTCATTTACCCCGGATGCATGCTTGTACCATCCCTCTCTAAATTGTGCAATCTGTTAAAAGCTTATAAACAGTTCTTTGTACAGAGCACGCAAACCTGTACGCAGATCTTTATCTCAAGAACTTTCTAAGGGAATAAAAAAATAACAAAATTATAACAATCGTCTTTTAGTTTATTAATATAACATACATTTGCAGGCTTACGTGCCCAATTAAGGTTTATAAACATTTGTCAAAAAGAAAGACAGATAGCACAATACAGAGAAGGACATCACAACGAATACATCCAGGGTTCTAGCGGGATTCGAACCCGCCACCTCCACGCTTAACAGAGCGTTTGGCGGGCGATACAGCTCGACCAGGGAGGCCCCATAACATTCGTTTATTTAAAGATAATTCTAGGCAAAAAGAACTATTTTCTAAGAATATATTTTATTTAATAATATTTGATTGATTTTGATTTGTTCATTTACGTCGCACTAGAGCTGCACAATGGGCTATTGGCGACGGTCTGGGAAACATCCCTGAGAATGATCCGAAGACATGCCATCACAATTTTGATCCTCTGCAGAGGGGATGGCACCCCCGCTTCGGTAGCCCAACGACCTGCACGCGAAGTCGAGCACTTTACGGTAGCACAGTTTAACGAGGACCAATACCGCACACCCTCGGTCCCTACGCAGACTGATCCAAGTGGTCACCCACCCGCACACTGACCGCAGCCAGTGATGCTTGACTTCGGTGATCTGCTGGGAACCGTGTCTTAACGATCAGTCCACTGCGGGACTATTTAATAATATAGGACAGTGGACGGTGAGCTTTACAAATTTTTGCGTAATTTTAAAGAATGTAATTTTTTTATGCCAAAATATAAAATTTCAATGAAGTCGGTCGAATACTTCTTGCGAAACCAAATTTAAAAAAACTCAGATACATAAAATTTGATTTCTCAGGAAGCTTCCAATGCATTCGACAACATTTTATAACGTAAGAAATGATATTTTAAGATTTGTTTTTCCATTTGTATGCCTTTACGAAGATATTTCCTATTATAATTGGCTTTACCCTTATTGATCAGAATTAATTACAATGAAAAATCATAAGAAAGGTATGCCCCATAAATATCTTATTATTTTAGTGACTTACCATTTAGTTTCATGACTAAAATAAGAAGATATACGTGATAAAAATATCCTAAAATGGGTAAAAAGTGCTAAAATTTAAAATGTATCCTTTTTTACGCAATAATTAAAATAATTAAATTTAATTATTCGAAATTTCTCTTACAGGAACTGATTTTCGCATTTCCCTTTACAATATATATTTCTAATTAAAAATCTCTTTTCGTATTTTATTTGAACGTATGGTTTCAGGAGTTTTAAATACAATCAAAACTTTTTAACCAAAAATGTGTAATTAAATACCTAACAACGAATGTTAAGCAATAACAATCATGTTCTAAGAATAGTAAAAGACACATGCCAACTGATAAAGTGAATTGAAAATTTGCTTAAATGGTTTTAATACGTAAACAACTGATTTCGAAATAGTTATAACTCAAAATAGGCGATTAATATTATCTCTAACCCTTTGTTCTTCGATATCTCTGCTTTAGATGATACAGCTGATATTATTATTATTTTTTAATTTTAACCTTTTAAGGTTTGAAAACACCTCATTACTATATGAAATACAGAGATAAGTTGGTTTTGAGAATATATAAAAGCCATACAATCGACATAATCTAAAAACTTTTTTTTTTGGTGGTCGCGTCAACAGTGTTTGATCGAACATCGATTGTTAGCTCAATTTTTTTTTATTCAATTAATCTGAAACAATAATAAAAATTAACTTCGAAAATGAGTTCCAAAAGCCAAATTCGTCAAAACTATCACACTGAATCTGAAGATGGTGTCAACAAACAGATTAACATGGAGCTTTACGCAAGTTACGTCTATGCTGCTATGGTAAGTGCGTCTAAGTTATTAAATATTGAGAATTAGTTAATGGCAATGTTTTGTAACTTTTCACTATTCTCTACAGAGAATGTGACAGTGACATGTATTTTTTCTTGAAAAAAATATCTAAGTCTTGTTATCATATTGCGCCAACCAGATTTGTTTTCTTTTAAGGAGAAAATAAAGACTGCAATAGAAGTTATATATTATATGCAATAGACTTCGATAGAAGTTCTCAATTAAGTGAAAAAAAACTTCTATTGAAACGTTGTAACTTCAATAAATGTTTTTTTTTTATTGAAGTTAAAATAGCTCCTAAAATAGAAATTATTCTAACCTGTATAAGAAATTTCTTAATGAAAATTTCTTCATGATTTCTGTTTTTGAAGTTATTTTCACTTCAAGTAGAAACTTAACAGAATACAGGCAATGTGTTTAACTAGTGACAGAAGTTATTTTCACTTTACTTTCAATAAAAAAAAATAACTTATGCTATAACAGTTACTGCCAAATCCAAATAACACAGACTACATTTATTTTCACTTGTAGTAAACAGAACATTAGCTATCTGCCGCTATAAGTTTATTAGTTATCTGCAGTGTGTCGGAAACAGAGTTAGCGCAGTAAAACTGCAACAAAAATTGTTTTACACAGAGATAGTTTTATTGCTCTGACTCTGTTACCGACACACAATAACATATATTTGAATCTGAGAATTTTACATGAAAAGAAATAACTTTATTTGCAGAAGTTATTTTCCTGCAAAAATCAGGTGAAAATAACGTAAGTTACAGACACAGGCGCTGTTACCGTTGAAAACGATAAACTATATGTTGATCTGAGATTTTCACATGGCAAAAATAAATAATAAGCACAAAGTAGAACATCACAATTTGGTTATCTGCCGCTATAACAAAACATATATGTTAAGTTAACAAGTCATCGGGTTAACCGTGGGGGGATTTCGTGGTTTTCCTCACCATGTAGCACAAATGCGGGTTAGCTTTATTAAAAAGTCCTCCACGGTTATCAAAAATCCTCCACGAAAAGTCCAAAAGTCCTCTCGCTGAACTTGATCCAGGAGTTCTTTTGTTTTCCAGATTGGGTTCAAAATTACAAGGGGCTACGGAGTAGAACATTAGTAGTCGTGAGCCCAAAAATTGGGTCGACTGTTCAACATTAAATATTCATAAAATATCGTATACTATAGTGGACTCAAATAAGTCGACTATGTTTTAAAACTTATCTCAAATGAATTTTCCCTGGCATATTTAAAATACAGCATCGCAGAGCTTACAGACTGTATATATAATTTGCTTGATTTATAATTATTTTTTCATCATTTAAACTTCATTCAACACCAATTAAAATTATTTAAAAAGTTTTACGTTTCAATCCTCAATCAAATAAAACAACAACAAGCCTTATATATTAATTTTCAGATTTTTTTATTTTGAAGCAGATATATTTAAAAAAAAACTGACCAATTTCTTAGGACTCTGTCAATCAACCTATTATTCTCGATTTTATTCAAGCTGGAAAAAAAGTCACCAAGTTAAACAGTTATAGTGGAAAACAAATTTAGAAATATGTTTTTTTATATATATAAAGAGTAAATATATAAATATAACGGGTCANATCATCCTCAGGGATGTTTCCCAGACCGTCGCCAATAGCCCATTGTGCAGCTCTAGTGCGACGTAAGTTAACAACAACAACAACAAAATCATAATTATTTTTTTATCATTTAAACTTCATTCAACCAATTAAAATTATTTTAGTTTTATGTTGTAATCTTCAATCAAATAAAACAACAGCAAGCTTTACATATTAATTTTCAGATTTTTTTTATTCTGAAGTACATACATTTTTTTTTAAAAAAAAACTGACCAATTTCTTGGGACTCTGTCAATCAACCTATTATTCTTGATTTTATTCAAGCTAGAAAAAAAGTCACCAAGTTAAAGAGTTATAGTGAAAAACAAATTTAGAAATATATGTTTTTTTATAAAGAGTAAATATATAAATATAACGGGTCAAGGTTTCACTTAAATCTCTCAACCTACTTTGAGTCACGCATAAGTTCAACGTACAGCAAAGTGTTTACAAAATCCTCCAAGCACAAAACATATCACTTATTAATTTCTATACATTCAACTTTTCATTCAAACAATAATCGATTGCTAATGAGTCATATAAGTTTATCCTTGTTTACATTGTGAGCTCAATGCTATTTCTTTAGAGATAATTCGCTGCTTTTCTTCATATGTTTTTATAAAAGACATAGTCGAACCTCGAATATCAGAACCTCTTTCATCCGATAACCTCAGTTAACCAAAGTAGATTTTCACTTGCACGTTTTTTTTCAATTTCAGATGCTGTTTAAAAGGAAAGAAAAACAAACTTAGTGATTAAAAGCAATTGATTATTATTTGCGAGTTAAAGTAACAAGCACTTTGTTAGTTGGTTATTATGTTTTAATAAAATCTTAAGTTGCATCATCCGTCTTTCCATTATTACTAGTGTTTAATAATCATTTCTTATATCAGCTTCTATTCCTGCAAAGAAGGAAGCGTGTTATCAATTCAAGAAACAGATAATATCACAGAACTAATAGAATCGGGAACTTGCAATTGAGGTCAATGAAATCGGCTAAGGATTTCGACTTATGTGCTGCTTTGTATAAATGGTCTATTAAAACAAATAGAAAAAAAGGAGTACCACTATCTGAGGCAATATTACAATTGAATTTCGAAGAAGATATCTTTATATCTATCTTACAAAAAAAAAAAAACTTTCGTTAAATGATTGTATCATAATTAAATTTAAATAGTATTCATAGCACTATTATTACAGAGCGCATATACCAGAGTTTTCTCTGTGACAGAACTCAATGGTTAGATACCATAACATTTAGTTGATTCATAGCTGTTTTCGTGGGAAGCCGGGAGAGCTGTATTAAGATCACGGTTATGTGCGTAGTCACTTCTGTGTTGCTATTATCAGTCGAGTATGAACAGGCTTCGTTGTGTGTGATCGAGACTGAGAAGCAACAGCGCGAGGAGGACCATGTCGTAGTCCCAAATAGCAAGTAAACCGTTCAACGTGGTCCATCCATCGAAGTAGGCGTGTTCTAGTCGATGGGCGTTTCTGTCAATACAGGCGTGGTCAGAACACATCCGAAGATGAACAATATGGGGAACGTGCTTTTAACAATGACAATCGTCTTCTAACAAAAGGTACCCTAAGAAAGAATCGAGTTAACATGTCTAATGTACTAGTGAATTGGTATTTAATAATTGTAGTGAATAACATGACACAATGGGCAATTTAATAAAAAAAATCCTTGGTTACATTAAATATGGCTTTTGATATTTGTTTTTAAAAAAAATCCTTTTTCTTTTCAGGCCTTTCACTTTGATCGAGATGATGTTGCTCTAGAGAACATCTCCAAATACTTCAAGGAATGCAGCGACGAAGAACGTGAACATGCATTCAAACTCATGAAGTTTCAAAATCAAAGAGGTGGCAGCATAGCTCTGAAAGATATTAAGGTAAATGACTTTTGTCTATACTACCGGATGTCCCACATAATGACCAACGATTTTAAAAAGCAATTTAAAAAACCAGAAAAGGGTATAATCTTACAGTTCTGCGTTCTACTTTGGAAACAAGAAATTTATTCCTATTGAACTTCGAAATTATTTACAAAGTTCGTTAACAGATATGTGTACACAAGCAACTACTGGGTGCCCTCAGTAATGACCGACGATTTTAAAAAACGAAAAAGAGGGAGAAGATATAATCGTTCAGTATGCTGCGCTCTGCTTAGGAAACAAGTTTATTTACTCTCATAAAATTTCGAAACTGTTTACAGAGTTCGTTAAATGACATGTGCCGTAGCAAAGTAAATTGCCTACCAACCTTACTGCCAAAACATTTAGAAGCACATGAAGAAACAATCCTTAAGAGGGAAAAGTTTGGGGCATGGGTTTCTATGCAAGTTTAAATCTTGATGATGGGCCTGAACTCCCGTAGAAGTTTGTGGCAACTTTGACGCGATCCCCTGTTACATAACTTGTATAAACTTGTACGTTTCAAAAAGATATTTATGAAAAAATTTCATTAAAAAAACTGGAGATTGGTTAGATAAACCGATAGCCAATTTGATATCAAGTACCAAGATTTGTTAAACAACAGAAAAAAAATTGTTCTCCAGAGTTATTCAAGGGTTTATTAGTAACTTTAAAAGTTCTTTTTGTGTTATATCAAATTTAAAATTAAGCTTTTTGTGCGGGCGTTTTATGCTCCCTAAAAATTATAATATTAATTGTGTACTTGGCATTCTCTCATCATACGCACTTTCAGAAAAATCTTTAAGTTGAACCATAACATGGCTAGAGAACATAAATGCTACAACCATAATAAGGTGCTAAATTGAACCATATTTTCGCCCAAGTTGAATCATAACATCATGTAATCAAAGACAAGTACTTCAATATGATTCAAATTATCACTATTCTTATTAAAGTTGCAACAAATTTGAATGAAATTATGGTCCAAAATCCTGCAAAACTTTTAAGAATGCTGTTGATTTTAACATAACAAGCACAGATATAATATTTGGAAAACATTATTATTTATTTAGTTAGCAAATAGGGAAAGTGCAAGTTGGAATATAATGAGTTATTTTGTGTCGATGTTTATGTGAAAATACAATCTTGTTCGTAGATTTACTTTGTGCATTTAAGAAATGGTTTTGTGCATTTATGTTATATTTTTTAAGACCGAAAACAATTTAATGAAAGACTCTAATTTTTATCAGACTCCACCAAAAAGTAAGTGGGCTACTCCTTTAGAAGCAATGCAGGATGCTTTGGATCTTGAAAAAACAGTTAACCAGGCACTACTCGATTTGCATAAACTTGCAGGATCACATGATGATGCTCAGGTAAAAACTTAAAATTTCCAATACTTTTTTTTTATTAAACAATATTCGATAATTTAAGCATAAGAATATCTTACAAGTTATAAATTTGGTAAAATATTATTTGTTAAAAGTATAAATATTAAAATACCCGAATTTTTTACTGGGTTTTTCATAGTAAATTGAAGATTACATTTTTTATTGGGATTTTCATAGTAAATCGAAGATTACATTTTTTGACAACAAGCATAAGTGAGTTCCATGGTGAAAATAAATAGATATGACAGTTGTCCTATTTAGTGTGGAACAATTAAAAATCTATAGCGAAAATTTCCATGTGTAAAATAAACATTTAGATGTCTCTCGCTTTTTATTCTATTCTTTCTCTCGCTTTTTATTATCTCGATATTCTATTATCTCTCGCTTTTTATTCTATTCTTTTGTCTGTCCTTCTCTGATGGAATATTTACTCAAAATTTCTAGTATTTTAAAATGATTAATATAATGCAGTTTCTATAAAATTCCCGTTTGTATATTTATAATATAAGTCATGGTGATCCACTTTTTCTTTAACTTAATTAAATGTTTAATTTTCTACCAATAACATTTTGCCTGCCATCAATATTGATATTTTAAACAGTCTGTACTTTTAATAAATAATGCATCTGGTCAGGCCCGTATCAACCCAGATCATTTACTAATAAATGCCTCCATAAGGCGCGGGATCGAGTGCTGGTATGGTTGGTGACCCATCAGATTAGCAGCAATTGTTTTCTTATAGGCTGGAGCCACATAAATAGCTTCTTCGTGATGCTGCCTTTAAGACTACTAGAATAGATTTTGCTTCCACGCTTTCATTCTACTCGTACTAATCGCCTTTCGACTTTGCTTATGCCGGCAATCAAACAGGTTTTTATATTTTTCAGTCCCGCTTTCCTCTAAAACGATTTATTAGAATTAAATTCGCTTTTTTTTAATCGTTTAAATATTAATTTGCTAATGCACATATTTTTGGACAAAAATTCTAAAAATGAATATAGAAGTCGATTATAGAATACACCATGTATATCAAAGAATAAACATAGGGGAAAATATACAAATAATGTACGATATATATTTCTTTATGTATATATGAATTCATATATACATAAATACATATCATATATACCGGAACAAAATTAGATAAATCTAATATTAAACTTCTTTTATTTGCTTTGATGATCAAAAATTAACATCGCGAAACTTACAAAAGAAATATTTAAAATATAACTCAAAACACAATGATTTACATGAAAGCGATTTAGCTTGATGTAAGGTTTTAGAATACAATTTTGCCATTTTTTTTTTCGATTTAAAATGAAATTATGTGAAATTGCTTATGAAATGTGAAAATAAATATAGAAAATATAATTAATTTCGATTTTTAGATGTGCGACTTTTTGGAAAGTGAGTACTTGACTGAGCAAGTGGAAGCCATCAAGAAACTTGGAGATTATATCAGCAACCTGAAGCGCGTTGGCACCGGACTTGGCGAGTACATGTTCGACAAAGAATTTAAAAGCTAAAAAGGAAAGAAATACTTTTCACTAAGTTTCCTGAAGTAACTACAACATTTCCTGAAAAAACTTCAAAATTGAATAAAAAGTTATAAACATGATTTCAAAATTTGATTTCATTTTAATTCCTTATCTCATAAAATAATTAAGGTTCATTGAATTATACACAAAGCGATTCTAATTCATGATGACAAGAACATTTGGAAAAATCTGTGTTTTCCAAACAAATTTTATTAAATTTCCCAGATTTATTAAACGATCGCAAAAATTTTATAATATTTTATTTAAAATAAAGTTATATCTTATATTAAAGTAAATGTTAAAGTTATATCTTATTCTTATACAGAAAATTTTTCTTAAATTATTCTTCTTATACAAAACACTTAACTTTCTGTTAGACCTCATTAAATAGTTGAATATATTTCATATATATATATATATATATATATACTCATGAANTATAGATATAGAGAGAGAGAGAGAGAGAGAGACACATTTGGAATCTTAAATACTAAAAAATAAAAAAATTTAGATTGGATTGTGTTAGGAGAGAGGATGCAAGAATAATATATACAGAGAAATAAATTAATAAAGAATATTTTTCAATACATAAAAATTTTCTAGGTAAATCAATCTCATGTGTAACTACTTGACATTCGCAAAGCAAAGTAATAAGTAGAGCCCGGATTTTGATGACCTAAAAAATCTCAACTAATGCCCTTAAAAAGTGCAAAAAATGCCCTTAAAAATGCAAAAAATGCCTTTAATAAAGTAAAAATATTGAATTAAAAAATCTTTTTGTTCTTTAAAATTATTATGAGTCATTTAAAAAACATGAAGCAATGCAATACTTGTTCTTCATTCATTAAATTTTGACAAATATGTTTTATATCCTAAAATAACAAAAAAAGGAAAATATATTGACACCAAAATATTTTTATTTTGTATAGAAACTTTAATGGATATAACAACTTCCATCTCATAATATTACTAAATATCAGAATTACATTGGATTATTAAATGTTTTTTGATAATTTGAAATGTAAACGAGCGTCTCTTGTCTGAAAGTAAATTTTCATTCCTGCAGAAGCTTCTTTCAACGTCTACTGATGTTATAGGTGCGTACTTGAAAAAGACGGTCTCACTTACTGACAATTCTTCTTCAATTTGAAAAGATTTTGCTTCACCTGTTAATATCCTATAGATTTTCTTCATTGTTTGGAAGCCAGTGTAATAATGAAAATTGATAAAAAATAATAAAAATTGGAAAAAATTAACAAAAAAACTTTAAAAAATGCATTTAAATGCAAAATACGCCCCAAAATTTAAAGAAAAATGCCCTATAAATCTAAAAAAATGCTCTATAAGACAAAAAATGTCCAAAAATGCAAATGTCATCAAAATCCGGGCCTTAGTAATAGGTATATTGAAACATACTGCTGAAAATATACATCTTTTTTACAAATAAATCTTTAAAAAAAAAAGATAAAAATTCCTATCAGAGTGCTATTTTTATATCTATAGGCTATCACAGCAATATTTTAAATTGTTCTTATTAAATAGTTATTTTTTTTTAAATTTATTTAGAATCTAGAATACTCATGTGAATAAAAATTCTTTACGGATAATATATTTTCTTCCCCGTTTATTCCCCTCTCTCCAGAACACGATGCCCGAGTTTGTGAAACGTTTTAAAACTTGAAATAATGACATGTTCTCTTAACCGATGAGAACTTACAATTCATTACTGGGTCATGTTTTTTCCCAGGGAAAGCTGAGCAGTAGCTTGCTAGCCACTTCTTCGCTGCTGCACATGTGCTATTTACAGTCTAGGTCATTTCAGCAATATCAAAGAACTGTGGATAAGCTCTGTAAACATATACATATGCCTTTAAAGGCTAGATAGTTGAAGAGATTTAGGCTATTTCAGTTTAAAAAAAAGCATTTTATTACGTTATATACAGTATTGCAAATATTATTCGTGGGATATTTACATCGATGGTTTCCCCCTTGCAGGGATGTTGGCCCATATTTATCTAGCCATGAAGAATATGAAAAAGACATGCATTTTTGTCTGTCCCCAGCTTTTATAGTAAGGTTCTGAAAGGGAGTGGTTGCAAGGATCTTCTTATCTTCATGAAACGCCATTCAATTGATAAAATTTAGAGATTTTGATTCGCTAAAAGGATATCGTCACTCTGACGGTGGAAAATTATTGGGACTATCTTAATACGCACTTTGTCTACGAATTATTGCCCATTAACTTCAGAAAATAATCTTCGATACCACTTTTAATGAAAAGAATAGAATTAAAAGAATATGTAGTAATATTTATTTACACAAAAAACAAATCGATAAACTCTTTCAAAATTTGATAAAAAACAATAGATACCCAACTAAAGTAATATAATTCTATATAAAATCATTGAATAAATCGTATATTTTTTGTGGATATATTTACTAAAAATCTTCTTTGTCAATTGATATAATTTTCCTATGTGCAAATCCATTTCGGGAAAATCCGTGGTCAAAATTATTTACTAAAAAAATTCCTTTGTTAATTTAAATAATTTTTCCATGTGCAAATCAATTTCAGGCCAATCCGTGACTAAAATTATTTACTAAAATTTCCTTTATTAATTTATACAATTTTTCCATGTGCAAATCCATTTCAGGCAAATCCGTGGCTAAAATTATGTGCAAAACAGGCAATTCATGTTTCTGTTTTCTATTTTTTTCTTAAATATTTATTTTCTAAAATTATTTATGGTCAACTTCTTTAAATTGTCCAGTATAGTTAATTCCATGAAGGAAGAAAAAATTGTGCGGAATGAAAAGTGTTTATGCTCTTAGGTAAAAAAAAAAAAAGACAAATTGGTCTTTTTTGAAGTTTAATAACATAGAAATACTTAAGTTATTCGTTCTTTCTAAATATTCTTTAAGGCAAGATGCTATTGCATAGTTTAAAATCCCTTTTTTTTTACTTCTAATGGCGAAAAAATTCGAAAAGCATTGTTACACGCATTCTTTTATTAAATAGGAGGTGGAAATAAGTGGACGCGCAAATACTTGCGTGAGTTAAATGAGTAATTGAAATGAAATTTATAATCCTGAAACATACAGCACATGAAATCATACGCACTAATCATGAAAAAACAATTAGCAAGAAAAAAATACTTTTAATTACATCATTTCCATTCATATTCTTCTTTTACAACAAAATAATTCCAATTACATAAAAAATCATACAAATACTAAAATAGTAACAAAGAAACAATTTTACGAATTTTATTGCAGATATTTTTTTTTCCAACAAAAGCCTTCAGAAATAGTACTAGTGAACATTTCTAGTGTTTTTAAAACCGATTATGATGATATTAAAAAAAAAACAGTTCCATTCTACGCAAAATATAAACTAACTTTTATTAAATACAAAAAAATTTAAACTATATACCTTTCCAATTCTTAAAAATATATTTTTATTTTAATAAAAATAATAATTGTCTGTTATTTTTAAATTTATGAAAAATAAAGAGATTATGAACTAATCGTGTAGAAATCTCATGTAAGCAACTTGACTAATTAACTTTTACTATTAATGATTAGCAAACGAATGAAGGGGAAAAAATGTATCATGTATTAATGAATCTGCATTATCAGTAACTCTAAATGATGAGTAAATTAAAAAATGATTAAATAAATAAATTTCGGCGGTCAACGACACGACAGTTTTAACTATTATTATTACTTTTACAGCATATAGAGCACATAAGAATAAACCGAATGCTGACTTACAAAATGCTAAGAAACAAAATAAATATGCTAAAAGTCCCTTTATCTAATAAAAGTTGGCACAAATTTTGCATGGAAAAAATTGAATTTTTTAAGTCTTTAATAAAATAAACTTTCAAAATGGTCTAATAATTATGTCATATGAGACTAGTGCGGAGAAAGGCAGTGCAGTATGTTAAGTATTTTTAAGTCCGAAATTTACTCATCAGAAGCAAATCTGTGGTAAATTAAGATTTAGGTGTTAGCACTAAAACATTTTTGTTCTTAAATTAAGTAGTAAATTTGTTTTAATTTTTGTAAAACGAAGAGAATGTGACATACATTACTTTAAGGGATAATTCTAGAGTAGCAGTTTAAAAAAATTTAAATATATTTTTTATAAAAAAATATTAAAATACTTTTCGTTTTTTAAAAAAAAAACTTTGCTAAGACTTTAATTCATTTTTATGAAGCATTTCTATCAAAATAAAAAAGCTGACAGTCACATTAAATTCAGTTGAAAGTTATGTGTAATTTGAAAATCCTGCTTTTTACTAACAGCCCTAATACTGTAATGAGCCAGACTCCTATGAAAAGTCGGTTTTATTTTCTGATCAGCTAACTAGCTGGCTTTTAGTTTAATTGCAATGTATTCATATGCCCTTACTAATTATAAAATTTATCATTTCTTGATCAACTAGCCTGATTTGTTTCAGACAGTTTGCAAGAAGCCTAGAATTGTGAAAGCAATAATAATTGTAAACAGCAATTGTTTAATTACCCAAAGATAATTCAGTCTGCGTAATTCTTTGCAAATTTCTTTATTAGCCTAAAGATGTATAGGCTGATTAATAAGCCTAAAAAATATGAAGCAACTTGGAAAATATCAAAGATTTTTCCAGTTTATTTAAAATAACCATAATATTTAAAACAACCATAATACTTGAACCCAAATTTTTTAATAGCCTACACATATATATTTAATTCAATAGAATTATAAATTACTCATATCTTGAGGTGTTTGACTTTCGTTGATGAGCGTATAATATAACTGCAGCTAGTAAAACTAACATTTCCTTTTTTTTCCCTTCTTTTTTTTTAAAGAGCATTTTTTCATCTTGAATAAATTGAATTTAGTTTACTGTATCACATAATTTAGAAATTAAAATATATAATTATAAGAAAAGTTGATAAAGCAAACATCTTTACCTTAGCAATAAGTGGAATGCTAATAAGAAGAAGAAAAAAATAATAAAAAATAAAATAGGTTATTTAATTGGTTTCTAAATGTTTTAATTTACAACAAAACTAAACTAGAATTAAAGAAATATGGAATAGTGGTTACTGAATATATAATTTTGTGTAGTCATTCATATTATTTGAATAATTATGGAATTCAAATTCAATTAGAATTGAAGTTCAAACAAAATATGTATTACTAAATAATGAGATCATAAAAAACAGGAGTTACACTTTTAGAATGTCGAAACATCATCTGCCAGATTATACTTTCAAATTTAGTAACAGAACATAAAATTGTTTAACTACAAAGATTCGTTCATTTCAACAAGTACATATAAACATAAATTAAGAGAAAACAAACACACAACTGTTCTAGGAACTTGAGTTGCAATTTCCAAAATCATTACAAATAACAAACTAATAAAAAGAATAGATTTTAGGACATAAGTGCATTTACAATAAGTGAATGCAATTTATATTAATTTATAAATAGAAAAAAACTTTAAAAATTCTATAACATAAATTTAGAAGGAATTAATTTACAAAATACAAAAAGATCAAAGATAATTGGATAGAAAAAATAAATAAATACAAAATAAAAAAGAAACAATTGTTAACAATTTTGATGTATATGAATTTGAGAGCACAAACACAAACATACAATTGCTCCAGGCAATTCTTGACTTAGCGATTTCCAATAGTATATTTACAATCCTTACAAATAACAAACTAATAAAAAAAGTTTTGAGTCAATTTTGATTTTATGATTTAAGTGCATTTACAACAAGTGAATAAAATTTATATTAATTTATGAATGGAAAAAAACTATAAAAATTCATATCATGTTCTAGGCACTTCGTGACTTAGCAATTTCCAATAGTAATTACAATCCTTACAAATAAATTAATAAAAAAGTTTTAAGTAAATTTTGATTTCAGGATATAAGTGCATTTACAATGAGTGAACAGAATTTATATTAAGTAATGAATTGATAAAGAAAACTATTAAAATTCCATAACATAAATTCAGAAGGAATTAATTTATTTAGTTCAAAAAGCTCAACAATAATTTGGTAGAAAAAATAGAAAAATAATAAATATAATCTTGATCACAAAACCTTTTTGCACTTTCAATAAAAAACTTCTATTTTAGAATGCATATATATTTTTCAATGCAATAACAATCATGTATTAACTCACTTACAAATATATATTAAAATTTTTTTTAAAAAAATCCTTAATAATAAATAAACTCTAGAATATAATAATCACCAGCATAAAAATTTATGAACAAACATTGTAAAAATAACAATAAAAATAGAAAAAAAATTCCTAACTATTTTGATGCATAAGAATTCAAGCAAATGAGGTTTGCCAGCAATTAAGTAAGACAAAAAGGTATCTTGGATTAATATATCTTCATCTAAACAGTTAAATCAAAATTATGTGCTTAGATTTGGCAGTCAAAAAATAAGCAATGCATAAGCATCTCACATGCCAGGGTAGAAAGAAGACCAACAAATCTACATAAAATTTTGTATATATACGTCTATACAAAAATATATATAAATATATTTTTTTAATTTCTCGTGAAAAATATCACTTTCCCAGTCAACCTGTCAAAGAATTGTTCCTAAATAGTTATTGTTTTGTCATAATAATCTAGCATCCATTTTCTATACAGCCTGATATTTTTTAAGCATCATTATATCATTCAACCTATATGCTATTAGGCAAATAAGGAAGACGGGCAAAGAATTACTCAGGCTGATATTACTTAGGCTTATTGCAATAAACCTTTAATAAGGTTTTTAACAAAAAACTATCACTACTCTGAGGATTATTGATACTGGCGGAAATAAATAAGATAAATTGAACAATGGATGCCGCATTTACTTATTAGCCTAAAAGTAGGAGGGGACACTATAATTAGCTTAAAAAGAGCTAAAATTGATTGTAAAATACTGGAGATTTTTCGAGCACATTGCAGAAGAACAGCAGCTGTTAACAATGAACTAGATTATTTAATAAGCCTAAAAGAGATGCACAACCTGCGGCTTGCGGAAGCTTCAGAGCACAATGAAAAAAATTTGGAAAATTTGGAATTGCACATTTGAATAATTAGTTTTTGATACACACAATTTGTACAGATTCTATTGTAAATCTACGTTGTTTTCACGATACTACATTCCCACATGGTTTTAAAAATTCTTATTTTCATTACATGTAAATTTTAAATCAAACATTTCTCATTGACGTGCTTTATTTGTGCTAATTTCATCGTAAATTTACGAGCTCTCCTTTTTTAAATATTGTGATGTTATTCCACGTGATTTAAATGAGCCAGTTATTTTAACTGCGATGATATTGTGACACACTAGTTTTCAATCAAGCATTTAAATAACAACATTTTTATACAATTTATTTGTGTATATTTCACAGTAAATATAAGCTATTTTTCAGATGTTTTATCGTCAGTTAGCGCAATGCATTTGCACGTGGCATGTAGAATATTTTAATACAACACTGTTCAAAAACTGGTGGAAAGAGGGAATTTTTAAACTTCTCAGTATTTGTAAATTCATTTTGAATTTTTTGCAGCTATCAAAAAAGTTTCCTATTTAAAATTCTTAAAACCTCTTAATAATTCAAGAAATAGAAATATGTGAAGTACAATAACAAATAAATATTAAATTTTATTTTATTTTATACTAAAATAATTTTGTTTAAACTATATAAATTTTCTAAAAATTAAAATATTTAATTCACATTTAACTTTTTTCCCATTAGCATTATTTTTTCCCCCTTAGAATTTATATTCTTTTTTTTTAATGAATTTATTATTGTTTAAAAAAAAAGAAGAAAAAAAACTTAAAACAAAAAGTATCAGTTTTTTTATTTTTAAATAAATTCTAATAATTAAAGGTATTTAGTTTTTTGCAAATATGTTACTAAGTTTACTGATAACAGATTGTAGTGCTTAGAACATTAATTAATGTTTACATAAAAATTATCATATTCGCCACCGACATGACTAACTATGCGTGCAGCGCTTCGTTATTCAACCTGCTGTGCTAGTGGCCCTTCACTCAAAAAGGTTGTGCACCCTTAGCCTACAACACAGATATAGTCTTTGTCAAAGGCACATCAGGCGTATATTATCAATAACTTTTATACAAAATATAAAAAAACTAAAATAAAAAAAATTATATGGCACTTTTTAAAATATCAGGTAAAATGACTGAAAATAAACTTACTTTACCTTCTTTTTAAAAAGCTAAACACAAACAATTAATCTATAAACCCAACTTTTTTAACAAAAGTCTTATCACAATCAATTAAGTTCACATAAATCTCAATAAATTGACTCACGAAAAAACTATAGATTTTTAAGCTAAAGGTTTGTATATTAAACGATTAAATAAGTAAAAGAAATCTCTGCTATCATTATTTGTCTGATTACTTTTCATCCAGATTTCCGCAGAAATATTTAAACCACTATTCAGTTCGCATCTGTCATCAAGACAACCAGAACAACGGTTTAATTTAAGGTCTTCAACAACTACTTCTATGTTTAAATTATTTTCTGAATACAATTTGACAGGTTCATCAAAAGTCAGGGACAAAATATTGTTTTTAAGTTTTTCTTCACAAGTAATATCACGGGAAGAAATACTGGATCCACTTAGTGCAAGGTGAGTTGTTATAACTTCTTCTGCTTCTTTTTGCTTCATTTTTAACTCTACACCATAAATTTCAATGGCTCCTCTGTTGACATATATTTTGGCTGAACATTTAATATCATTTTCAAAGGCAGAGTTTAAACCATTGCCGAAGTCGAAAAGAGGGAAATTGAATGTTCTTTGATTTAAAGATAACTGTGGAGAAGGTTTTACTCTCAAAACCGGTGATGGTTTTTTGATGTAAATGGGTGTAGACTCTGATCTATTGTATGCTATTGGTGTGGGTTTGCTATTCTGTTTACCTGGTGCATTTTGGAATTTAGAAAACACGTCAACATTTTCAGCAAGTTTTGAAGAACTTGAGCTCAAATCCTGTTTTACCTGTGTATTTTGCCTAACTTGAGATGTTGAATGTTGAGCTTGAAATGTTTTCTCAAAATGATCAAATCGCATGGTATGTTGTTTATTTGTTGTGTTTTGTCTAATGTCTGAAAATGCTTTATCATTTTCTTTAAATTTTACAGATTTTGAGCTGGAATCTTGCTTGCTTGGAATATTCCCTCCAACATGAAAAAATGGTTCATCAAGTACAGAGGATTTTGAGCTGATATCTCGTTTGGGTGGTTTATTCAGTCCAAAAGTATCACGCAAATGATCTTGTAAATCTGAATCAAAGCTCCATGAAGGTTTTTTCTTATTGTTAATATTGACAGTATTAACAGTTGCTGGTATTAATAACTCTTGCTCTTTAGGCGTAGATTTAGATTGCTCTCGGCGATTCGTATTTGAGCTGAAGCCAGAAGGAATTGGAAGAGAAGGATCTGGTTTAAGAATTGCCATAGTCAACTTAGAGCTCTCATGTGCATTTATAAGTTTATCATATTTTTCTACTAAATCACAAAATTCAGGAGCTGTTAAGGTAAGGAAGCGAAGATGCTTGAAGAGTGGGTACACACAAATACGCAAATTATCTGTTAAAGACCCACGCCTGTAACATTCCTGTTGAGCCCATTTAATTGCAGCTTCTATTAAATCAAGCTCACTCATAATAGACATTGTATCAAGCTGAAGAATATCTTCAATTACTGGCAAAGAAATTTCAGTAAATTGACGTAAATTTATAATATCTATAGTTCGAGTAGAAACAATATCTCTACAAGCTTTCAGAGCCTGTGGTAGATTTTCAGATAATGCAAATTCATATTTATCAAAAATATTTTCCAATGTTATGTTTTCCCCAACCAAATATGTTCGGCAATACTTTTCTAAATCTTTTACCTCGTAAAACTTAGCTAAGCGATACAAGTTCTTGCATTCTTCTGTGTTCTGCAAATCAGTTTCATCAGTGTAAATAAATCTAAAAAAGAAATAAAAATAAATTAAAATACTGATATTTTTGAATTCGATAAATTGTTTCATTTACAACAAATATCTAACATTTGCAAATATTTTGAAAATTTTAAATATCTAAACAATGCTCACAAAATAGAAATTGCTTTTTTTTTTTAATGGAAAATTACAGTAAAATAAATAACAAACATACTGTATTTTAACTGCATTATAAACAGCTTATACTTCATTGCTATATTATGTTACATAACTTTTTTCAGAATTAAATGCCTGATTTGAAATTCTTATTTTCCTTTCGATACTATTACTTACATGGAAATGCTTTCTGTATTAACACAAGTATTTTGTCAAATTTTTCTTGAAACTATAAGTTTGAAGGAAAGCTATGGCATTTCTTAGTTGCCAATGGACAAAATCAAATAAAGGCCTTTTTGGTATTTTATTTTATTAATACATATTTTGATGCCAGATAAGGCATTATATATTACCTAGCTTTTTAATTTCCTTTACTTTATAAATTTAATCATTTCTAATCCCTCTTTAAATAAATCATTTAACTAATTTTATAAAGAGCAAATATTGGTATTCTCAATTAATGTAATGGTTAATTTTTTTTATTTCAACGCAAGTGTATAACTAATTATTATTCAATGTCACGACAACTGAACATCAAAATGTATTTTTAACCTTTCTGTCTTCTACCACAATAAAAAATTAACATATACGTAATTCGGTTTATTTTAATTTCCAACGAACTATTTGGCCTTATATCTTCAGCCAATTTATTTAAGTATTAACATGAGATATTGTGAGGTTGGCTGAATTGGCTTCTCTTTTAACAGACTTTATTGATAATGCATTTATAACAGATTTCTTCTGTACTGCAAAGCGTTGATTAAATACAACTTTTAATTTGGCTTTTGTTTAGGCAGACTGAGGGGAATTTATCTCCCATGGCTTGTTTAATCAAATTAAGCAAAATTTATTATTTTCTTTATGTCAGTTGAATAACTTTCTTTTTATTTTGTACCTAGAGGTCTGTAATGAAATAAAATGTTTACCATCTTCCCATTATATATATATGTATATTATTATTATTAACATGCAATTTGACACTTCAGACATNTTGAATAACTTTCTTTTTATTTTGTACCTAGAGGTCTGTAATGAAATAAAATGTTTACCATCTTCCCATTATATATATATGTATATTATTATTATTAACATGCAATTTGACACTTATTTAAGTTAACACTCATCCTTCAGACATTATTTGCATCATCATTATCCAAATACTGTCACTTTTTTATAATCAACTATTTACTGTAATATACATATGAAGCATTTTCGTCATTCAGCTACTGGTGATGGTCTGTGAAAAGATTAAAAAAAAATTCACAAGGAAGAATGCGAGTTAATTTATTCTTCTAATTATTCTTATTAAGTGAGTTAATTTGTGTTTCTAATTTATTATTGTAAAAAAATATAACTAAAATATTGCTAGGAAATTTATGTTTGAGCAATTTCCATGTTTGAAAAAACAGGTTTAAACTTTGGAATTGATACTAACAATTATTTTAAACTACTGTAAACTGTTGTAAGAAAGTAACTCACCTAAAGTTACAGCCTTTCCTATTTTTGCAACAAATTGTTTTGAACATATCTAGTGCAGCTTTATAGAAAACGCTTGGTTATTGGAAAATTTAGCAAAATTATGCATTTGGATTGGAATAAGATTAGAGTAATTTGAAACTTAATCTGGAGCAGCAGTTACATCATAATCAATAAAATTTTAGTCGTTCACATTATAAATACTCTCAGGAAATTAAAGTGTGTAATAAATAAATATTTTTTTTTTGTTTTAAATCTAGTTTGATTAGAAAAATCTCCTTCATAATAAAGTTTATAGCACAGTAAAACAGTATATTTTTTTCAATATATTTTTTTCAATGTAATAAATAATAAGGAAAAGCAATACCTCATTACTGGTATAAATAATTCACTTTTGCCAATTTTTCTATTTTGTTTTACATTTTAAAAACAAACTGAAACTAAACAAGGCATGAAAAAATTCTTTAAATTGAAGTACATAAGTTGAAGGTCAGATAAGCAAAACAAAGATTTTTTTTAAAAAATATATGAAGATACTTGATTAAATATTAATTAAATGTAAAGAATAAAATATTGTTTAATATTTCAACTGTCTTGCATATTTTAAACACTCTCTAAAGTTTCAACATAACTTTCCTTTGGTTACATTTTTATTTATTTCAGCTACAATAGTAGACATTCGATGCATAACTTTAATTTTATTTCAAAGAAGATTTTAGTTATATTCTTTACTAAACAGTCATCAAAAAACATTTAAATACATGCATGTTAGATGTAAATAAAGGTAAGAAATAAAAAAAAAGCCAATAAAGGCTAATTTAAAAAATTAAAAAAAACCAGCAAGCCAGTTTCTTTTCATTTCTGGTACTTATGTAATATAGATGAATAATGGTATAAGCAGTCATACCACGATAATAGATGTCTATGCATGAGAAGGAATATGAAGCAAAAAATGTTAAGTTCAGTGGCCTAACTGGCAGTTGAATATAAGTATGTTGGATGATGTATTACAGATACAACAGACTATATGCCAGATATCTCAGGATGGGATAAGAAAGGCTTAAAAAGAAAATGACAGTCAAAAAAAAAAATTTTTTTTTTTTGAAACTCTCAATGAATCATTTTTATAAAAATAAAAAACATAATTTTTAATACTGTTGAGGAAATAAACTCATTTCTTCCTTTCTGCTATATTTTAGTAGTATTACACTACCTGTTAATACTCCTTGTAAAAAGTTCTGCATTAAGGGGGCAGAGGAAATGTAAATGAGCGATTTGTTTATGATGGCTTGAAAAAAATATCCTATGAAAAAGATACATTTTAATCTAATAAAAATTCTTTAAAGCATGTCTTCGTGCTAAGTTTTATTTTAAACATTTTTATAAAATGCTTAATAATTTCATAACAATTTAAACAATTTCATAAAGACATGGAAATATCTACAAATAATAGCAGTAAAACACCTACTTATATTGTGTAGGTTACCCTTTGGCAGGCAAATTAACATCTACCTTGCCATGAATACTTCCCTCTTTAGTAGGCATGATTATAATTGCACCAGATTACAAGCAATTTTAGAATAACTCAACAGTTTGAGGTCTAAGCAGATGTCCAATTACATCCTTAATTTGCCTACAAGATGAATTAATTAGCCAGCGAATCAACTGTCTCGTACTATTATAGTCACTGCAGCACAATTCTAGACTTTTATCAAGTTATACTACAAGGTTCTGTTTGTAACTGGAAAATGGTCCAACTGGTCCTCAATGACGTTATTATCTAAAATTATAGCAGCCCCAGAGACCTTTGAAGACAACTAGTCCATAATGATGAAATAGTTAGTACTTACTAGTATGATCTAACATTAGAGCAGTGCTAGAGATGCCAGCAATAATGTTCCTAAAACTACAATATTACACCACCACCAATATGTTCATGACTGGTGGTGCACCAAGTTTTACATGATCCACAATCTCTACAGTTTTTGAGATCTGATGGAAATGTACATATTTGTTCTTAGAGCCCTAGCTCACACTATAATAGAATATCTGACAATTCAAAGAATCTATAAATTTTTCGCTTATAAAATGCTAACAATGATGAACACCACTATATCAAAATTATTGCACAGTGCACAAAAGGCTAACATCTAGTAACTATTGATCTAATTTTCATGTAATTTACAAGGACTCAATCTCAGTGGCTTGAAAGCCAAACCTTAAATATGATAATTAGTGCAGAGTCCCGCAGTGGACTGATCGTAAAGACACAGTTCCCAGTAGAGAACCGAAGTCAAGAACCACATGCTGAGGTCAATAAGCGGGTGGGTGATCACTTTGATCAGCCTCTATAGTGACCAGGGATGTGTGGTACAAGTCCTGGTTAAACTGTTCTACCATAAAGTGCTCAACTTCGTGCGCAAGTCGTCAGGCTACCAAAGCAGGAGAACCACCCCCTCTGCAAAGGATCAAAATTGCAATGGCATGTTGTCTTCGGATTACCCTCAGGGATGTTTCCCAGACCGTTGCCAATAGCCCATTGTGCAGCTCTAGTGCGATGCAAATACAATACCTACCTACCTAATTAGTGCAGAGAATATTTATTTTTAATTAGAATTACTGGTACCTAGTACAGGGTGCATAGCCAAATTTTTTAACAAAAAATAAGCACCTTTTAAGTACTATATAAGAACTCAAAAAATATTTTTAAGCACTTTCCAAAAAAAAAAATCATAATTAGGATCTGTGCAGTAATAAAAAATTAAAGTTCTTAATTTATGAACATAAAATCAATAAAATTCAAAAACTTAACATAATCATGATAAAATAACTAATTTCTGATAAATATTGCAGAGAAAATTGTGAAAATCATGTATTTTTTGTAATTTAGAAGGACAATATACATGGGTAAAAATAAATCTTTTTAAAAGATAGAAAATTAAGCACTTTTTACAAACCTCAAATAAAAAATGCACATTTAAGCACTTTTTTAAAAACGTAAATCAAAAATAAGCACCTTTAAGCACTTTTTAAAAACTCTATGCACCCTATAGTAGTAGTATCTCGTCATTAAATCAAGTTATTTCGGATGTTTGGCTTATTTTGCACACTACACATCAAAAATAAATATTTTTAAAATCTATAAGCATTAAAATGAATAATCATGGTTGAGTTAATATTTCCTAAAATAAGAATTTTCAATTAGTTATTAATGATTTAATTTATTGTGCTGACTTATAAAATAAATTACATTTTGAAAATATATTAATAAAAATTAATTGTGAAATAAGACATTTCTCATGGTATTTATAAAACAGGGTGCGTAGCCAAATCTTTGAAGCAAAAATAAGCACTTTTTAAAAACTTTTCAAGCACTTTACAAAAATTTTCAAGCAC